TTTCAACGACTCTCTCTCTCACTAACAACCATCGCGTTATGAACAATATTGAGTATAATCATTCATTAACATTAAGGTTTTCTTAGCATAGTATTTGCATATTTCAACGACTCTCTCTCTCACTAACAACCATCGCGTTATGAACAATATTGAGTATAATCATTCATTAACATTAAGGTTTTCTTAGCATAGTATTTGCGTGTTTTAACGACTCTCTCTCACTAACAACCATCGCGTTATGCGGGATCCATGTGCCGTTGTCAAAGTGAAATCAGACAATCGTTGATGATACTGTATTGATGCCGTATTGACGTTCCGGGATTGAGAGTTCGCATACTATATCATAGTTAAGGTTGAATTAGTAATAAATTGATCAATACAGAAGTGGTTGTGTGATTCTTTCCTGAAATCTATGCATAAGATCTGCTTCTGCGTTGAGATTTGAACTTGGTGACCTTAATAAACACACTAATACATACTCAGTAAATGTTAAAGCGATAACGGGGTGAACCGGGGACCTAAATATAACCACGAATACCCACTCTGGGAATGTTAAAGCGAGAATGAGACGAACCTAGACAACGATGCCGAGTTAATCTAAGTTAATCTTGCATACTTACACCACACCTGCATAACCGCATACGATTAATTGCCTTATTCCGATCGATAACCCACCCTCGTCACCGAGGCGGGGTCTGGTTATCATAACGACTTGCATTATCATAATTACACCCACTCGCATAATTAATACGATTACCTCTCGAATTGGCATAATTAAAATGTGCGTAATTACATAAATTAACATATTTCCGGATAATTACACATTTGGCCAAATTTCATTTAATTATTATTATTTCCACTGAATATTCATAACCCACATATACAACATAATAATTTCACCCACGCATACAACATAACAAATTTTCATACCCAACATATACAACATGTCGCGTTGACTGTTGTCAGTAACCTACTTGTTGTCCAGCACTGCTGATGACTCTTCCATGCTAAGAGGCCTTCGTGTGCAGTGGTAGTTCAAAAGCCACGACTATGCACATTGCGACACCGAACATTTGGGTTATCTGTCTTGATCCATGTTGCACTTTGCGCAATATTTTGAAATGTTTCTTGTAGAGATTATTTCGATTTAATCTTCCTTTCCTTCACATTGTCTTGAGAAATCCATGACGTCACCTCTATTCAGGCCTGAAATAACTCTCCTTCATAGCGTGTGATAATGTATCGTTGTGAAATTGACTTTGGTTGAGCAATAGCTATGTATTACCATGACTGTGCCATGAGCACCCTTTAGATTTTGTGTAAATAAAATCCGGAAATCTGGCCGAGCGGATGTAGCCATCTTAAAATCCTCCATGCGTGGCGCCTTGCTCAAACCAGCTTTGTGGTATTCCTCGTGCACGAGAGGTGAACAATTGCCCTGCACTGTAGCATTAAAGCACGGTAGAAGCTGCTTTAGTCTGGTGTATTGTGAACACTCACAGTGCACCATTACCTCCTGGCCAAGTAAACCTCCCAACGTTGCACCAATGTTGGCATATGGCGAGAACCGTTGGCTCAACGTTCCATGTTTACTGGGTTGGCTGCAATCTCCATCCGTATCTGTTCTCTGCCCTCTTCATTCCCACAAATGCCCCTTCCTTCAGCTCCTCCACCATCTTCTTGGTTATTTCGGTAAAGTCACGTAGAAGGGAATAATAAAGTAATAGAAAGAAAACATAATAAAATACAATTCTCACGGCGTTTCCTTTCTACGTGACTTTACCGAAAGAACCAAGAAGATGAATCCCTGCAGTCACGAAAGCTTTAAATCGAAACTCCTCCACCATCCAGATCCTCGACCTTCCTGTCTTTACTGTGCCTGATGTTCTTCTTTGCAACAAAAACCAAACACACCTACAGTACTCGCAGCTGACCTCACGTTTTGGACAGTGCTGTTTCTTTCTTTCAAACGAACGTTCTGGAATAAGAAACTTCCTCAAGAAAAAACTAAACAAACGAGTTCTCGTTATGGTTCAATAAAATCCAAATATGTAAATGACGCGAGGCAAGTTGAGTGCAGTTGTGACGAGACTCAGGCTTGGCTCTCCAGCAGTGACCCCCCCCCCCACACCAAGCTTCGTTATTCCAGGCCAAACCTTTTGCTATTGAGAATGATTACAACCGCGGAGAGCAAGCAAACTAAGGCATCAACATTGAACTTCTCGCAGCGTAACCAAGCAGTTTGACGCGGGGATGACAGCTGCTCATCGTGTGACGCCTTCTCCATCGTCGGATGCGACACGCTGGGCGTGGCTCGTGGGGGTTTCCTGCCTTCGGGCAGCGACACTACAGGGTGGTCACCATGTTTAAGAGGCCTGAGTAATCTACTACAAAATGTAATTGATAATAACAATTTAATGTATTTACTTGGCCACTGAATCGTCACGGCCTTATATACAGGATACTGTACAAAGAGCATACTTATTTCCTGTACCTACATCTTCAATATTGCCAAAAATATTGGGAATTCAGTAGTAATTTAAGAATCCTTTTCCCTCCCATCCCATCGATCATTTATGTTGTTTGGTCATACTTCACCATGTTGCTCAGTGCAAATTGTTGAAGGGGAGGGTTTATAGGGTCACAGGACTCGTCCAGATCTGCAACATCACTTGATGGCAATTGTCACAATCTATCTGAGCATCTTTGGCAGAACAAAATCCAACAACTTCCATTGGACACACAGGGCAGTATACTCTTGCGTGTAAGACATTACACAATACCCTTGCGTGTAAGAAATTACACAATGTCTCAAACAAGACACAGCTGGATTGGTTTTGTCATACTTAGGACTCATCGGCACAGGATGGTCACCAATGCTCACTGCTGATGACACCTAATTGTGATGAAAGCGGTCCTCGGTTGTCTATCACTGCATCACTGCTTCCTGTCAGTCGGTCACATTTGCTCAAATTGTGAAAGAGCACTGCAAGAAATACTGATGGTGTTTGCATAATGCTCAGAGGTAGAGTGCTTCATACACGTCTTGGTGGGCCGTTGTTTGAAACTGGTCGTTTTTCAGCCTGCACTTGCTCTGTTATGGTGGGGGTTTTCCTGTCATTTACAGACTTGACGTTTCATAAAACTGTTGGTATCAAAACTGGGTAGACATTGTTTGCTATTTGTGATATTTAATTCCGTGTAATAGTCATCACACCTCTGCTCCTCCGATTGTATTTTTTTAATTTAGGTTTCTTTTTTAAACCTGGATTTCTGATCTCATTGTGCTCTTCCCAGTAAACATGCCATCGTTGGGTCAACTGTCCATGCCAACGTTGGGTCAACGTTCCGTGTTTTATTGGGGCTGCCTGCTCTGATGTGTATGCAGTATGGTACTGCGTAAGGGCAAAATAGTTGAAATTAACAACATGTCGATGAACAAACCTCTTCCCATGGTCAAGGGGCAGGCATTGGTGTGCTTGCACTGTACCACTATGGTACTTGTACTGTACCAGCACTATTTGTCAACCCACCGGTGGATGAGGGCCTACCCTCGCCGCGTGGAGACGCGGGGGGTTGTTTGGCCACGCTTCACCATACTGGTCGGAGGAATCTGAGAGAATTGAGTGAACTTAATTAAATGGTCTGAGAGCCGTTGAAATGTCACTTTGATAACATTAGAAAGAACAGGTGTGTGTGTGCATAGGCGGGTTGAGAAACTTCCCAAGGTGTGTGGGGTGGGGGCTGCTCCCGAAATGTTAAGCGGTTACTTTGGGCCCCAAGGGGCAGGGCCATCTAATCCACCCTGTCTTTTCCATCCACCCCATCGCCCCCCTGGGATCCGCCACTAGCTGTGAGAGGAGTTTGGGCCATCCATGTGTAGTGTCAATGATTCGGAGACAGAGTTTCCAGAAGGCACTTTCTTTATTAACAACTTTCACGGTCTCGTCCGCACACTCCACAGTAGCTCAGCCTAGCCTGTACACAACACTAGCCGTCTAACACTGACGGGGCGCTGACTGAGATAGCCAACTCCTCTCCTTCGTAGCGCAATATCTAGCGGAGACGTTTGGCGACGACTGGACGACAGCGACGACGAGACGAGTCCACTCCCAGAACCGGCAGCCTCGAGCCCCCCCCCCGCTGCTCTCGGCTCCTTTCCCAGCGTGGCCTGGCTCCGCCCTGACCGCGCCTCCCTTCTCGAACCCGCCAGCAGGTTCCAGGGGCCTCCAGACGGGGTCCTCCGTGACCCTTGGCCCAGTTCCTCCCCTCTGCCCACACCCCGTGCTCACGCCGTCACCGGCGCGTGTGCTGCTATCTGTCCATCACAGTTGCCGCTGCTGCCCGCTTGCCAGCGCTATGATACTACATTTGCATGGATGTGCTTTGTCTGTCCATACTTCTCGCGTGTACATTCACAAATGCTTGGACATGCACAGACACAGAATTGGGATTTCCATCTACAAAATGAGTAATTTTGGTCACATAAAGCAAAGCTCCAACTGTCCGTTTGTGATATACAGTCAAGGACTTTATGTAATTCACACTGAATGTAATCTGATGATTAATTATACAAATGATTTGGCAATGCTGCTTTGTTGGCAGTCAGTGGTGCACAATTCACAAAAAAGCACTACATTAAAATATATATTTTCTTACAAGAAGCAACATTTAATACAATGACTCCTCTTCACAACACGTAGGCCAGAGAGGGAGAGTGACAGAGCTAGAGGCCAGAGAAGGAGACCCAGGCTGTAAAGAACGGCCATTGCATGAAATGTCACTTATTATATAGGCAGTGCTATTGATGAATGTTAGTTTTTACGCCAATTAGATTTGCTCAAGAACCCTCAATCAGCAGTGGATTGACTGCAAGGGCTGTAAATTAGTATAATGATTCTTAGCGTCGTATGCCTCGGACAAATAATGTCGATGGACGTGCGGCCGTCATATAACCCTGCCCCCTGTCACTGTGACACCCCCCCCCCCCCACCGCTGCCAGGACATTTTGTGGAAAAGGGCTCAGATGCTCTTTCAAAAACTCAAGGTGGGCAGCACCGCAGCCCCGGCAGCGGGGGACATCGTCACGACGACGGAGACCGACTACAGAGACGACGAGGAGGAAGGCCTGCACGAATGGCTGCAGCAGAACGTCAACGAAAGCATCAAAATCGGAAACGACAACGACTACTACCGCGAGGCCAAGGCGGCGCCCTCGGTGAGTGGGCCCAGTGGACGCGGTGCCGGGCCCACTGGGGGCCCTGACCAGCAAACGTGGAACGTTGCGCCCTGGGGCCAACGGTTCCAACTTCCTTGGCAACGTTGACCCAACGTTGGAACGTTGGGTCAACGTTGCCAACGAAGTTGGAACGTTGGGTCAACGTTGCGTGTTTTATTGGATAAGCAAAACATTATTTTCGGCTGCCACTCTGCATGAGTTGATGGAACTGGTATGGATCAGAGACAGAGGAGGGGGGGAGAATACTCGCTCCGAGTGAGTGGTCGGGCATATTTGTCATTCCACCTTTGGGCTCTATCTTGAAAACTGCTCCACTCATTGGTGACCTTTGTTGCAAGACCAGTTTCACCTTCCCCTTCAAGTCGCAGCGAGGTTTATTGAGCCAAGTTTACCTTCAATGCACACGCACACACATTCTTGCCTACCCACAGTCTTTGTTCAAGACCAAAATTGACAAAACTCTGAGATGCCCCACAGCGCTGGTGAGTCCTCGGTGCAGTGCACGCAACTCGCACAGAGATCCGTAGGCTCGTACGCTATGTTTGACTTGGCATACATCGCACTGATCATTGCACGCGCATTGACTTCAACGTAGATGGTGCGGGGGTGGATATTTCGGGAAACAAGCAACGCCCAACATTTTACGATGGCGATAAACCACTTGCCTCAAAATGTAAACGTAACCCGGGCTCTGTCCCCTCAAGCAAATGTTCATTTGCTGCTGTTTACTGCGGTGTTGTTGGTTTAAGGGGCTCGTTCCCACATTTGGGCTGTGTGCAAGCGGCGACTCGCCAATTCGCTGCCGGGGGGGCTACAGCGGTGGGCCCCGTGTCGGTTGCTACGCACATTGTGACCTCCTTGCAAAGACATAGAACATTTTTTTAATTATTGTTTTATAAAATAATAATTTGATAATTTTAGCTTTTTAATTCTCGGTTCAATTAACATGTTTAACAATTATACATTGCAACTTTCATAGATCTATATTGCTGGCGCTTGACGTTTTGGGCCTTTAGATCTGTGCTCAGCGACTGTTTAAAAAAAAAAACCCCCAACAACTTACAACGGAGTACTTTGTTTATTAACACGCTAGTGTGGTACCTCCGGTACTGCAGTACGATAAACAACTTACTCCTAGTTGCGTGGTATTACCCTCATGTTGAGAAGAACATTGTTATGAAATATCTGCATATTTCGCACCTAAAAATAACAAGTCTAATATCAGTTTAAGCAAATGAAGCAGTGTCCACGTGAAGTAAAATGTTTGGTTGACTTGCGACAGCCGCGGCCGCCCATCTATGATCAACGTGCGAACGAGAATGATTCGCTTGAGCCCTGACGTTCGAGTCGAGCCCATGGTGACATGCCGTGAGTGCGATGAATGTAAAGTGGCGTTACTCAAGGCCACAGTGGCACTCCAACACGGGGTCGATAGCGCACCATGGGGAGCGTGAAGCATCCGGAAACGGCGGCTCTCCGACGGGACCGGGACGCGCTCGCCCTGCGTGTTCATTGTTAACGAGGCTGTCTGACTTGGCCCTCTGCGATATTCACGTTCAACACTGTTAACCGGCACAGAAGCAGGACTCCCATTCGTAGGAGGGCGCATGTACGTACGTGGAACTTCTTTCGCACCGTACATAGCCAACCGTGCTAATCGGAGGCGTGGAGGAAGGACAACAAAAAGCAGTTCTCAAGAAATTAGTTTTGAAATTAGATTTCCGGCTACGATGACCTTAGCTAAAAAAAGAGCGGGCCTGGCATCGGCCGATGGGGCGGTCGAGGTCGGCGTCGTTTGAACATCGAAAGCTCGCGAGGCGACGTCAATGTCGTTGTAAACGATCCCGGTCAACGTCGCCCGCCTCTCGGTCAAATAGCGAGTGGGCGACCTCTGACCTTGGCTGCCCACAGAGCACCCGGAGGCAACCCGGCTCGCCAGCTCACGGGGTCGGCCAGCCACGCACCGTCCGGCGAGGACCGTTTTATTTGCGTTGTCGTCGTCGGCAGCATCAGCGCAGCGTCGCTTTGGCTGCCAAAGGAAATGAGCTCCGCTCAATGCCGTTGCCGCAGCATGGTAGGAGGAAGGCAACATACATATGTCGTACGTACCGTATGGTTACACGCGTTACAGCTTCGTCATCGTTCTCGCTCTTTGGCAATGTAAAACAATAATAGCTATTTGCAAGCATCTCATTTTCCAGAATGGGTGTCGTTTGACAACCTTTTGACGCCTCCTCTAGTTTCCATGGCGCTTGCCCTCATTTGAGTCGGTGCGAAACGTAACACCTCGGATGCTGACGGCTAATTAAATTGCGTGGCGGTGACGTTAAACTGACCCCCTTCCAGCTCGTCGGGTTGTTTCTCTTGAGTGGTGTACAAGTTGCCGTCACGCCATCACCGCTCACCCTCGCAGCAGCGGCTTTTGGCTAGCCATCGAACAAAGATGGTCACCGCATCGCGCGCTATCAGATGCGCTTTTGCGGCTGTCTGGATCGCTCTTCCTTCCGATTGTTAGGAAGTCACTGGAGCTTTAGAACTGCTTCATGTGTTTCGTGTGTTGTCCTTCCCCCGTACCTCTGCTTCGCACAGTTGGCTACAAAAGACGTTCAGCATACAAGAATGTTCACAATTCATTCAACCGGTTTTCTGGGTGGGCTGCTTGTTGAGCAAAATTTTGTCAAGCTTTGGCTACACACTATTGCAGGAATTTTTAACTCGTGCATTTCAACGTTGGGCAAACGTTCTGAACACATAGCCCAACCCGGGAAACCACACAAGCATTACAAGCGGCTGTAAAAAACCTACGAGTTTAAATGTTCAATGTCATAATGTGGCGATGCGGTGGAGAAACGTGGCCCTGCGAAATTTATAATTGCGTGTTGCGGACCCGTGCTTGTCCACAGATATCCAAAATGTGCAAGTTGCGTTTGGTAAATTGGTATACAGGTAATAATAAACCATGTGTAGGTGAATTTCACGGTTGGCAAGTCCACGGTTGCGAAGGATTGCTGTACTGTGTAAGTCCACAGTGATATGGGGGATCAGTGCCACGGATCCTGTTATTCACGTGGTTATCAACGATTTACTCCTCTTAATTGCGGGATAAAAATTCGCGAATAACCCCGTGGTTAATGGGGTGAATTTGCCATGCAGCACCTCCTTATCCGTGAAAATCCATGCTTCACTGATAATCGCAAGAAATAGGGTCCTGGATAATAGGAGTGTTCGTGGACCCGACAGCCGTTTTGGATGATGGAAGTCACGGACAATAGGCTGTGAAGAAAGGTCTCCTGGCACTGCATTACTTAATGGTGTTTTATTTTGCGATTGTTAATGTAAATCCAGTCGCACATGGTCGCTTCCACAGTGAAATCCTTCACCGTCATTTTACAGTGACGCATTGCGTTTGTTTTTGTAGGATTTTAAAGTCGAATTGAGATTGCAGTCTCTGTATTGAGACGTCGCCACGCACTATGTACGGTTGAGCAACCGAGCTACGGTGCACGCACGCGCATCCTTGCCACGTCCGCACGCGTGGAGAATCCATTTTTGTTCACTGTGCAGGTGAGGGCGTAGCCACGTAGCCCTGCGAAACAAATCGATGCGGAGCGATGCAAATCCACGAATGAGTACTCAGATGGCGATTAATGGTTGTGGCACGAGTTTGAACAGTTGCATTCGTCGTGAAAATATTCGATAAATTGTTGCGCCGACGTTGAGTTTTGCCTCGAGGCAGTAAATGGGTTGGGGCACGTAGGTCTTATGGGTTTGGCAGCAAAATTAATGACTCGGGTAGATGACAACCATACCTGTTTGTGATTGATATCTATTTGAACATGGCTCAATGATTGTCGCTGGGGATATTCAAGTGTGGCCGGGTGATGCAGTCTACCAGGGATGGGTTTTGTAAATGGTCCATCTAAGACCATCATCAATCCACAGTTAGACACTGGAGTTGTCTTAGAAAGCACGGTCGCATAATCGTTTTTTAGCCATATCACAGTAATTGAACAGCCAATATGGGAGCATAAACGATCTGTTTACGGTTTGGGAGACGATGCTTATTTTGGTAGAGAAAGCCAAGGTTACATTTTTTTCTCCTGACCACATTTGCATTACGTTCAAACGTGAAAACGAAGAGTCAAAGATAGGACCAGACTGCGTTTTGTCTCTTATCCATGCTGTGTTCAACTCCCCACACCGCAGAGCACAACACACTCACTCACCCACTCACTCACTCGCCACACCGCAGGACACAACACACTCGCTCACCTACCCACTCACTCATTCCCTAATAGCACAGGACACAACACACTTGCCCACCCACCCACTCACACCGCAGGACACAACACACTCGCTCACCCACTCACTCACACCGCAGGACACAACACACTTGCCCACCCACCCACTCACACCGCAGGACACAACACACTCGCTCACCCACTCACTCACACCGCAGGACACAAACACACTTGCCCACCCACTCACTCACACCGCAGGACACAACACACTTGCCCACCCACCCACTCACACCGCAGGACACAACACACTTGCCCACCCACTCACTCACACCGCAGGACACAACACACTTGCCCACCCACCCACTCACACCGCAGGACACAACACACTCGCTCACCCACTCACTCACACCGCAGGACACAACACACTTGCCCACCCACCCACTCACACCGCAGGACACAACACACTTGCCCACCCACTCACTCACACCGCAGGACACAACACACTCGCTCACCCACCCACTCACACCGCAGGACACAACACACTTGCCCACCCACTCACTCACACCGCAGGACACAACACACTTGCCCACCCACTCACTCATACCGCAGGACACAACACACTCGCTCACCCACCCACTCACACCGCAGGACACAACACACTCGCTCACCCACTCACTCACACCGCAGGACACAACACACTCGCCCACCCACTCACTCACACCGCAGGACACAACACACTTGCCCACCCACCCACTCACACCGCAGGACACAACACACTTGCCCACCCACTCACTCATACCGCAGGACACAACACACTCGCTCACCCACCCACTCACACCGCAGGACACAACACACTCGCTCACCCACTCACTCACACCGCAGGACACAACACACTTGCCCACCCACTCACTCACACCGCAGGACACAACACACTTGCCCACCCACCCACTCATACCGCAGGACACAACACACTCGCCCACCCACTCACTCACACCGCAGGACACAACACACTTGCCCACCCACCCACTCACACCGCAGGACACAACACACTTGCCCACCCACTCACTCACACCGCAGGACACAACACACTTGCCCACCCACCCACTCACACCGCAGGACACAACACACTCGCCCACCCACTCACTCACACCGCAGGACACAACACACTTGCCCACCCACCCACTCACACCGCAGGACACAACACACTCGCCCACCCACTCACTCACACCGCAGGACACAACACACTTGCCCACCCACCCACTCACACCGCAGGACACAACACACTGCCCACCCACTCACTCACACCGCAGGACACAACACACTTGCCCACCCACTCACTCACACCGCAGGACACAACACACTTGCCCACCCACTCACTCACACCGCAGGACACAACACACTTGCCCACCCACCCACTCACACCGCAGGACACAACACACTTGCCCACCCACTCACTCACACCGCAGGACACCACACACTTGCCCACCCACCCACTCACACCGCAGGACACAACACACTTGCCCACCCACTCACTCACACCGCAGGACACAACACACTTGCCCACCCACCCACTCACACCGCAGGACACAACACACTTGCCCACCCACTCACTCACACCGCAGGACACAACACACTTGCCCACCCACTCACTCACACCGCAGGACACAACACACTTGCCCACCCACTCACTCACACCGCAGGACACAACACACTTGCCCACCCACCCACTCACACCGCAGGACACAACACACTTGCCTACCCACTCACTCACACCGCAGGACACAACACAGTCGCTCACCCACCCACTCACACCGCAGGACACAACACACTTGCCCACCCACTCACTCACACCGCAGGACACAACACACTTGCCTACCCACTCACTCACACCGCAGGACACAACACAGTCGCTCACCCACCCACTCACACCGCAGGACACAACACACTTGCCCACCCACTCACTCACACCGCAGGACACAACACACTTGCCTACCCACTCACTCATACCGCAGGACACAACACACTTGCCCACCCACCCACTCGCACCGCAGGACACAACACACTTGCCCACCCACTCACTCACACCGCAGGACACAACACACTTGCCCACCCACTCACTCATACCGCAGGACACAACACACTCGCTCACCCACTCACTCACACCGCAGGACACAACACAGTCGCTCACCCACCCACTCACACCGCAGGACACAACACACTTGCCCACCCACTCACTCACACCGCAGGACACAACACACTCGCTCACCCACTCACTCACACCGCAGGACACAACACACTTGCCCACCCACTCACTCACACCGCAGGACACAACACACTCGCTCACCCACTCACTCACACCGCAGGACACAACACACTTGCCCACCCACTCACTCACACCGCAGGACACAACACACTCGCCCACTCACTCACTCACAACGCAGGACACAACACACTCGCTCACCCACTCGCTCATAACGCAGGACACAACACACTTGCCCACCCACTCACTCATACCGCAGGACACAACACACTCGCCCACCCACTCACTCACACCGCAGGACACAACACACTCGCTCACCCACTCGCTCATACCGCAGGACACAACACACTCGCTCACCCACTCACTCACACCGCAGGACACAACACACTTGCCCACCCACTCACTCACACCGCAGGACACAACACACTTGCCCACCCACTCACTCATACCGCAGGACACAACACACTCGCTCACCCACCCACTCACACCGCAGGACACAACACACTTGCCCACCCACTCACTCACACCGCAGGACACAACACACTTGCCCACCCACTCACTCATACCGCAGGACACAACACACTCGCTCACCCACTCACTCATACCGCAGGACACAAACACACTTGCCCACCCACCCACTCACACCGCAGGACACAACACACTTGCCCACCCACTCACTCACACCGCAGGACACAACACACTCGCTCACCCACTCACTCACACCGCAGGACACAACACACTTGCCCACCCACCCACTCACACCGCAGGACACAACACACTTGCCCACCCACCCACTCATACCGCAGGACACAACACACTTGCCCACCCACCCACTCACACCGCAGGACACAACACACTCGCTCACCCACTCACTCACACCGCAGGACACAACACACTTGCCCACCCACTCACTCACACCGCAGGACACAACACACTTGCCCACCCACCCACTCACACCGCAGGACACAACACACTTGCCCACCCACCCACTCACACCGCAGGACACAACACACTCGCTCACCCACTCACTCACACCGCAGGACACAACACACTTGCCCACCCACCCACTCACACCGCAGGACACAACACACTTGCCCACCCACTCACTCACACCGCAGGACACAACACACTTGCTCACCCACTCACTCACACCGCAGGACACAACACACTTGCCCACCCACTCACTCATACCGCAGGACACAACACACTCGCTCACCCACTCACTCACACCGCAGGACACAACACACTTGCCCACCCACTCACTCACACCGCAGGACACAACACACTTGCCCACCCACTCACTCACACCGCAGGACACAACACACTTGCCCACCCACTCACTCACACCGCAGGACACAACACACTTGCCCACCCACCCACTCACACCGCAGGACACAACACACTCGCTCACCCACTCACTCACACCGCAGGACACAACACACTTGCCCACCCACTCACTCATACCGCAGGACACAACACACTCGCTCACCCACTCACTCACACCGCAGGACACAACACACTTGCCCACCCACTCACTCATACCGCAGGACACAACACACTCGCTCACCCACTCACTCACACCGCAGGACACAACACACTTGCCCACCCACTCACTCATACCGCAGGACACAACACACTCGCTCACCCACTCACTCACACCGCAGGACACAACACACTTGCCCACCCACTCACTCACACCGCAGGACACAACACACTTGCTCACCCACCCACTCACACCGCAGGGTGCCTCGCTTCTCTTGATGCTTCTTCCCTCGCACCCCGCTCCACTTGGGAATTCTCTCCTCGCATCGTCTCATTTCGCAGGCTCCTACGACTTTGTTCAACTCCACAAACATTGTTTGACCCTGTCCATTACAACTTTGATGGTGCTGTTTGTTGCTGGATACATTACGTTTTGGGATTTTTGGGTCCCTGTGCCTGGCAAACTGTTGGGGAAGGAACCGATGCCGACTTGACTAACGATTCGATGCTCTGGTGATGCGATTTAGAGCTGCCCACAAAGCCTGCGCAAAAGGGTGATGGCGACCGCGGAGTTGCGTGGACTGTTCCAGTTTGACCTGCCTGTGCTGCTGTGGAAGAGCCACCTCAACTTCAACGAGTGGCAGAGACTCACCAAGTACCGCCTCCCCTACGGCTGGAGAGGCATGAACTGGACCGGTACGTCCGCCCGTCCGGCTTACGCGTAGGATTTGTCGAGGGCCGCGCACGGTTTGGAATAAACTTGCACCTTGTGAAGGACAACCAAATTGCAGGTCCGCGTGCGGTGGGGTGTAGTGTCGGTGCTCCCACCTCTCCCAAGACCTGTGGCCAGTGTTGAAGAGCAGAGGGGCTCTCGGGAGTTCTTGCCAGTAGAGACCCTTTGGCCCCAAAAGGAGGGAGCAAGAACTCGCGAGGCCAAGAATTGATGACAAACCAGGAGATGCCAACCTGCGTTGCCTGCCGATCCGGCGCGACGGTCAAGCTACGGCCATCTCTGAGGGGTGGGGCGGTGGGAGAGGGGGAAGAGGGAGGAGGGGGGAGGGGGGTGTTTTTCCTTGTAGCAGCCTGCAGTAGATTATTTAAGAGCTGTGGCCGCCGTTTATGGCAAGTGCTTGCACATTTGGGCCTGGGAGTGTGGGTCTGGAACATTATGTTTGCGGTGGCGAAAGCACCGTCCGATCTCCGCCCACGGGAGTTGAAGGTGGTTTGGAGACACGCCGAGAAAATCCCCGACGCTCACTCATGCGAGACGCACGGAGAGCACGGCAATGAATTGACATTTTATTTTTTATAGAAGTGGTGTTTTTTTCTCACTGTAAAATGGGGAGTTACATTTGTTAGTAACGATTTTGTGATCTTATTAATCGCAACAATTATTCATACAAACTACTATAAAGTCAATATGGGAATTGGCTGCAGTTTGCTACAACGTTGACAGTGCTGTTTACTTCTGGTCACTCGATGTTTTCAGCTTGTCTTCAAAAGCTTTGTTTAAAAAAGAAAGAAATATTTGCATATCATTTGCTTGAACTAAAAACAATGTATCCTTGGCCAAAGTAGGCGAGCAGCAATTTGAAATTTTCTGGGTTTGGAATCGAGATTCACTGCATCATTATTCTGACCCTTGTGGAGACATTTCAGCAATGGGGGGGGGGGGGGGGGGTCACCAGTGTGTGTGGCTGTGTGTTTAGTGTTGTCATTACGTGTACATACAAGTCGCAATTACACTCGCATGGCTGGGACAGGCACTCTACCCTGCAGCTAGGGTGTAGCTTACCCTGTTCACATTTTACTTTCAGCTGCATCATCACCACGAACTGCTTTTTGACATTGTTACTCACTGTCGTGAGCTGGGATCAATCCACTGCTGGATGAAGGCCGCCCCCGACCAACCCCCGCGGCTCTGCCATGTGCCCACCCACCTGGCACGGCACTCGCTCGTCAATAAACGCTGTGGCCTTAAACGAATATTATCGAATAGGCGACGAGACACGCCTGCAACTCTTATTATCCACCAACTCTCTGCGGCCTCTCTATGTATACGCTCATTAGAATGGCCGTTGCTTGAAACGTCGTCTATTAAACATTATTTCACCGAATAATTTGTATAATTTTCTACAGATGGTCACAAATGTGACCTTTCCCCATATCTTTCGATGTCTCTGTGGCCAGTGAGTCGTGATGTACGATGTTGTGTTTTCGTGGTTCCACCCTAGGCTTGTGCAATTTCTGACATCGTAACACAGAATTTGCAATGCAAATGTCTGCTGCAAAAACAGTTTCGTTCTTTGTTTATCTTTGTTTATCAAGATTATAATTAAATGCACACAGATGCCACGCACAACTTCGTTCCCCGAACCTAATATCTCCATTATCGAGAGTTTTTGTCTTCGTTTTGTTGTCACCGCCTTGCTCACGCTCCACGCCCTTCCCTTTGTTAAAGAGCCGGGGTACTGCCTAAATGGGGTCATCCGTGTGACCAAATAAAACTCAAACTGGACTCATTTCCTGGTGTGTGCAGACATGGTGGATGCTATGGAATCCCTCGGCGCACCGGAAAACCGAGAGCTCTTCGACGACCGCATGGGGAAGGCGAGCGGGAGGTGCGTGCGCTGCGCTGTCGTGGGGAACGGAGGAATCCTCCGCGGGGCCGGCATGGGGAAGGAAATCGATGCTCACGACTACGTGTTCAGGTAAGGGCCGCGGACCGTGTTCGTCCGGTGCTCGCCGGGCTGCATTGGCTTCTGGTTGCCGAACAAATGCGTTATCGGGCCGCTCTCATTACACACACAAAGTGCTTGCTACGAATGAACCGCAATACCTCACTGATCTCGTCAAGAAACATAAATCATCGCGCGGACTCTGCTCATCATCACAGCGGCTTTTCGGCAACCATCGACGGTCGCCGCATCGCGCGCTTTCAGATGTGCTTCTGCGGCCATCTGGAATGCTCTTCCTTCCTATATTAGGAAGGCATTGGAGCTATGCACTTTAAAATGTATATTGAAAGCTCATTTCTTTAGAGCTGCTTTTTGTGTTTAGTTTCTTGTCCTTCCCCCGCACCTCCAAATAGCACAAATGGCTATGTATGGTGCGAAAGAAGTTCTACATATGCACTTGCATACAGCAGTGTCCATCTTTCTGTACCCATCTCAAAGCCAGCAACACGCGCCAAGTGAACGTGCTCCTCCTTCGCCGTAGCTCTGATGCCAGCACCTTGTCTAACGGTGTCTTTTTGAACTCTTTTCTTGCAATCTCAGTCTGGCCGTTCCATATCTCTGAATGGTTTTCATCGAAAAGAAAACCAAAGAGGGTTTTGCGAGAGCTCTGTAAACTTAATCGATTTCTACCGATTTGAATGCTTTTGAATCATCTACACAGGCCAGGCACAATGAAATTCGTGGTCATTTATGTTCAGGAATGTCTAAAACTACAGACTTGTTTCAGCTACTTGGGTTGAAAAGATGACCTATAGCTTCTCATCAGTATTTGTCAGAAGTATTGATATGACTTTATTGCTGAAAATAGTTGGCATTATAAATCTTGTGCAACACGTGGCGTTGTCACCCTGGTATGGGCATTGCTCTGGGCTCTTGTTTGGAAGTGTGCGCCAAAAGGCTTTCAGATTCTTAACAATTTATGACAAAGTGCCTCTTTTCATGAACTTTAAAACTAAGTGCCCGTTCACAATAATCTTTACCGCTGCATTTCGGTAGTGTACATGTTGTCATTTCAGACCCTCTTGTTGAGGAGGATGCATGTGTCATTTTGGACCCTTTATTTGAGTCCTCATTCCTCGTGTGTGTTTAGCTTTGGGAGGAAACCAGAGCATACAGAGGAATCCCGTGCAGAACAGGGGGAGAATCGTACAAACCCCGCACAGAAAGGTGCCCGAGTCAGGAATTGAACCCAGGCTCTTCTTGCCGTGAGGCACATGGCTGTTAAGACCACTTTGCTGCCACCCTGCTTGATGGCAGTGTTACGCAATCCATGCGTGTGCATGATTATCTTCCTTCCTCGTTGCAGGATGAACGGAGCCATCACCGACGGATTTGAGAGTGACGTTGGCACGAGAACTTCGTTCTACTTTTTCTCCACAAACACGATGAAGAACTCGCGGCTCGCCTACCAGGAGTTTGGCTTTGAGCATCCTTCGTGGTCCCCGGTAACAAACCCATTGTCATGGTCGCGATCGGTGACGTTGAATTGTAACAGCGTATGCACCACAGCGCCTATGCATTCTATGCGTCTAAACTACTCGATTTGCGATCGCACGTAGCGGCAATTGTCGCTCGCTCCTTGCAGGCCAGGTTCCGAGTTTCCTTGTGCCACACAGGGGCGGCTGTCACTCGGAGTGCCCTTTTAAATGTGTTAAGATGAGATGTCGTGTAAGTCGCTGATTGTGTGGAAAGCACTCTGAAGTGCCGTTCCAGCATGAAGAAACAATTGCATTTTTAGAATTATTATTACTATTTCATTTATACGTGTCACGTATTGTATGTGTGTTTCATGTTGGCTCTGTAAAAACCTAGGCCTTATGCTAATTATAACATTGGGGCTTCAGAATTTGTATATTTGTATGTTCATTTATATACATAATTGTGTAAAGTACAGATGATTCTATAGATAACTGCATACAGATAATAGGATTTTTCTAATATTCTTAGAGAACATTTAATTTGCTACTGCACTTTTCAGCGGCTACTCGTATTTACTGTTCAAGTCAAGGTCACTTCCTGCTCAGATTAACGCTAAGGGGGTGTGCATGTCCTGTTTACCGCCGTGAGCCAGTGGTGGAAACTACTAATTCCTATGGCAGGGACGAGTCTATTCTTCCCCACAAAGTGGCACTTATGTTATTGACCCCCGAGGGATGATGGGCTGAGTTAGCTTCCAACCAGCTCTTGACCTTGCGACCTTTCGATTGTGAGCCGCTTTCTCTCCCACCAGTGTCCAGGCCTTAGAAGCGCTACGCTGCTCTTCTCTCTTTGTCCCACGGCCTGTGCATGTTTGTGGTTGACTTGCAGTGCACACATCATGTGGTTGGTGCATTCTGTAATCTATAGAAGCAACATGTGACCCGCCCAATTCTGGCGTGAATCGCAACCAACGCCAAATATAAAGTATTTCATCGACAGCCATATATATTTTCCCCCATCAATGTAGCTATTTTATTTATCTAACTTTTTTTAATTGTCAATGTTTTATTTTGGTCCTCGGTTATGAGCATTTGGACGACTGTATCCGTTTTCACCGTCAAAATGCCTTCACATCTCTATCTCTGAATCGTGACTGGTGTGGCCACCGCCACTCTGAGCCCCTCCCCACCGCCCCCTGTGAGGACAGACGCTGCCTCTCCATGCAGCAGCAGCAGCAGCAACCTCACGGGCCTGATGTAGCCTCCTCCTCCCTCACCTCTCCTGACCCCTTGTTCCCGATTATCCCTCCCTTTAACAACCTTTTTCTCTTCTTCTCAATTCTTTATCTTCTCCCTTCCCTCTCACATTCCTCTTTTCCCATGCATTCCATCTGTGACTCTGCTCAGCTTCCAGTGGTGCATCATGAGAAAAGGCTGCTGGGAGTCCGTCAAGGCATTAGCGGATCGGACGAAGAGACGCGCTTTCGCCAGAGCTTTTCTCCGCGGCGTTAGCAGGTGTTTTCCCAAAATGGGATTTGTGAAACAAAGGGATAGATTGACCATCGAACATCGATTGATGATGTAGGATTAATAACAAATGGAAATGAGAGGTCTTGGTAATGAAGGCTGCAAAGTGGTGCTCAAGATAACTTATTATGATCAAGATCAATAAATGAAAACCATTTATACACTGATAACATAAACAATGTGCCGAGTGACGACCGTCAGCGTCGCAACTTGGAAACATACGCAGGTATGATTGTGACTGCTCCCAGATATCACATACCTGTGATACCTGTGCGTTTGTCAAATCTGTGGAGAAAAAACAAACACACCTGCAGCATTGTGAATCTTACGTGGCTGTTTTATCTTCTTCTGTGCGCAAACCGGCATTTTGTTAATGGAAAAGTAGCCACACAATCATCCACGATAACATGCTCCACTTGGATCCAGTGGACAAATTAAGTTGCTTAAAGCCTGAAACGATAAGCAGCGTGCCTTGCTTATTGTCACTTCCCCGCTACGGAGTGAATGTTTTCGTCGCTTTGGTTGTATCGTCTGGTTTCATTTATGGATGTCATGGACAGGTTTGCATGCGTAACTCGGAACATTATAATCCAGAGGTCGCCAGTTCGGTCTCCTGGCAGCGTAGTTGGAACAACCTCCCACCCTGTCCACCCAGCAGTTCGAATGGGTTCACCACAGTTAGTCCGTGGGACAGGTCGTGTGTGGTGATGTACAGTGGGGGTATTCCCGCCTCTTCCATAACGTCTGGCCAGCATGGAAGAGTAGGCCAAATACCCTGGAGAAGGGTTCTCTTGTTGCTCTCCTTCATCGAGACCCTTCCGCCAGCAGTTGAGTGAACGAGTTATTGCAGGGCTGCACCTTTACCTTTACGTGGCTTAGATAAAGTAAGAACTTTTAAGTTGTAGTAAAAATATTTAAACAAAAATATTTTTTCAAAATGTGGCTTGTGGGTGTACAAGGAGAAATGCGAGCGGAGTGGGGCATGGGGGGGGGGGGGGTCCAAAAGAAAGTGAACGATATTAAACAAAAAAAAAGTAAAATTTTACCCAGGAAAGCCTCAAGATTATTGCAGGAGGGTCCTGTCAAATTTCCGCAATAGGTTGCGATGTTTCTGGTGTGTGCGATTCCAGTTTAATAATTTGCAGGTAACATTTTCAGCATTGGGATGATTGGGCCAACAGCAGTTGCGCACCGTCTGTGTTTCAAGCTATGGGGGGAAACCCATACAGAACAGGGGTTGACCGTACAAAGTCCATGTAGAAAGGTTCCCGGGTCGGGGATCGAACCCAGGCGGTTTGTCGCTGTGTGGCACGAGTGTTCATGTCCTTCCTTACGCTGTGCCTCGCAGGAGACGCGCTACATCTTCATCCCTTGCGGCTACCAGGACTACTACATGGTGACTGCTGCAGCGAGGGGAATCCTCGTCCACAAAGGGGAAGACAAGAATGACCGGTAAGCGATGGCTGGGATGTGTGTGTGTGGTGGGGAGTGGTGGCGCAGTGCTGCACTGCTCTGAACCCGGTGACCCGAGTTCGATTTCTGCGCATGACTAATCACAGTGGGTGGGTTGAGTGGGAATGCATTGTAGCTGAGAATGCATTTACAAACCTGTTTATACTAACCTCGCCGTGATAATCGTACCTTCGATTAGCACGGCTGTATGTACGTATGTTGAACTTCTTTCTTAACGTACGTACAGTGCGGGAAAAATCAAGGTACTTACTGAGTGCAAGGATATCGAGTGGTGCCAAAATCTGTGACAAGGATTTACGCAACAACCTGAGCGTGTTTGTGGGTGTTTACGTGTCTTTGTCCGTGTCTCCGTGTCGCTCTGCGTGTGTGTTTTTGTGCTTGTGTGTGCTGGTATAGATTTCCACATGGTAAGTCACTTTGTTGAGCTTTCATTTGTGGCCAGGTCACTTCTGAAACATAAGTTAATAGCTCCGTGGGCTTTATATGGTAAGATAAAAAAATAGTGTTTTTATTTGTATATATTTTTTAAAGTGATTTGTTTTCCTTTACTATACTTTGTGCTCCTGTGTTTTTGTATTGTTTGTTGTTTTAACGTTCTGACTCATCCCTTATGGACATCTGGGAAAACTACCTTCATAGCTCATCGGATTCCTCCAGAATAAATATTCTGTGTCTGTCTCAATGTTCTTGTGTGTGTTCGTGTCTTTGTGTTTTAGTGCCTGTGTCTCTGTGTGTGCGGCTCTCTATCTCTGCATCTCTGTGTGTGTCTCCGCATGTGTTTGTGTGTCCATGTCTATATGCCCAAATGCACACGCGTGACCGAGGGAGGTTTAGAGTGGGGGCTGACTGCACATTGCCAACAGTGGAGTCGCGTGGTGCTGGGTGACACCACCTTTGTTAGCACAAAGACACGTCAAATTACTCTAAAATAAACGACCTGAACATCTAATAACTTATCTGTATTTGAGAAGAGTTTTTTTTTTTTACCGATTCTCATATTTTGGTCCTGGCAAAGGAGGTCCCATGATTTATTTGTATTTGTCCCCAAAAATCCTAAATATGAAAATCTCAAACTCATCTCAAGTATGTATATATATGCGCTGCTGCAGTCCATTACCGATGATAACATTAACAGAACTGCATACCTTGTGTGTGTATCGAGTGCTGTATATCCTAAACAACATTTGGAAAAATGTGAATTTTGTCAGCAAATGCATCTTTTTTTTTTGCTTTCAGGCCTTGGAAATACTTTGGAAAAGAGAATGTTGCAAAGAAGATTAAAATGCTTCATCCGGATTTTCTACGGTATTTGAAAAACAAGTAAGTTCACTCTGCTGGCACACGGAACGAGGTCGAGGCAGCAGCCTGGAGACCTCAAAAGAGCAACCTGCAGGCAGAGCAGTCGAGCAGCCGACACGAGCATCAGAACGAGATAGCTCTTCTTAGTTTGATACGTGGCAAGACAGTCAGGCCAAATGATGTCCATTAGCCTCTTATAGGTGTTGGTTCAGGGCTGTGTGGCCAATGATGGAAGAGGCTTCCCCCGAGCTCGCACTTACTCATGCGGTTGTTTGGGTTCTCAAACGTCCGTAATGTTGTTCCCCAAGACCTTTTGTCAGTGATTCACCCACGTGTGATTCTAGTCTGAGGAGTCTGACTCCTCAAATCAGTTTTTTCTCTGTTTTTGAAATTAATTGCAATTTTAGGCGTGATTTTCCATGTGATTGAGGTCATTCACTTCTGTCTAACTGCTTAGTAAATAGGTCCGCACATTTTATTTCTGATCCCTCTACATTGATGATGCCCATAGTTATTTCGCCTGATCCAGGAGCTTTCCTGTTTCTCCTACTGTGAAGGGGGCAATGGTTCCTTCCTTAGGTGTCATGTCCTGAACGTCGTCATCCTCCTCCTGAGAAATCATCGTTTACTCGTGGAATTGGATTTCTTCACTGTGGAGATTTGCGTAATAATATTCCTCCCCTGATGTTAGCTGTGGGGGAACTTGGGTTGCTGGGTTCAAAGAGGAGTGCGCTGCTAACCACTGCACTGCATTATTGTTCCATGTGCGCGCACAAACACAACTTTATTCCCTTCCAATGTTTGAAATGGGGAAAAAAAATTCGAGTAAAAAATGGTCATATGTAAAGCATCACACACAAAGGGACATATTTGGAAGAATGAGAGGTTAAAACTATCTCTAGAAACTGTGAGCCAGGAATTCCAAGCGTGGTACGGAGTGAAAACATGGTCTCTGTCTAGTGCCCAGCGTACGTCACCCGTGCGTAATCCAGATGGATAATTGGCTCTCAACTCCGGCGTTGGGGCCGCAGAGTGCCCTTGTTGGCCATTGAAGTGGATCTCTCCACGTTCTCCATGTCAAGGGTGTGAGCCTTCGCTGTGTACAGCTGAGCTGACAAAAAGAACAGATCGGTAACAAAAACAAAAGGAGCCAGGCCACTCGAGCACCGAGAGGTGGCCGGAGATCGCGGAGGTCTGTGTGCTGAGCTGGCAACGCTGAGGGGCCTGGATTCGAATACAGATGGTTGCCTTTGATTTAAAAAAAAAGTCTCAAGTGCAGTCAGATGCTGGCTTCAGCCTGGTCAACAATGTCTGCTCAAAAACACCATCACGTAATTCAATTGGTTGTGCATTTAATTTGTCTCATCTAGCACGAGGCACAAGAATAGTTTGTTCAACACGAATTCATCTCCTTGTTTTATTTATTTCAGTTTCCTGCCTTCGGGGATCCTTCAAACGGACTTCAGAAACCTCTACAGGCCCAGCACAGGCGCCATAGCTCTGCTAACCGCTCTGCACACGTGTGACGAGGTAATCCTGGATACATGTTCAAAAGAGACTTGGGAGGCGGAGCCATGGATGGATGACAGCGGCTTTATTTATGAACAAGAGGGAGTTGAGGATTCCAGAGGGAATGCCAGTTGTACCAGATGAGATAGCATGTTGAGTCTTTGTGGTATTTTTTTTAAATCTCGTTGCTTTATCCCAACTATGTTCTAAGTGCGCAATCGTAATCATATCCGAATGTCCTTGGAGAACCCTGCATCACGCAGTACATCACCATGTGTCGGGGAACAGCCGGAAAAGTGATGTCACAGAACTTCAGCAGCACTTTTCTTATGCACAGCGACATGGAGGACTCATATGGTGGACCCATATGGTGGACCCGTATGATGGATCCTATTATCCACCATTTTCACTCCACTTATCCACGGGGGTAAAATCGTGATAACGGCAGATAATAGGATGACCATTGCTCGAGAGAAAGTTTCAAATGAGGGGAGTCCAGGTATGATGCCCATAACCTGTGGATAGCCTGTGGGTGATGCGATGAGTTGACTACCGTTCATCATCCCTGTTCGTACTGTGTCCTGCCCAAAGCCACTTACAGATAAGGTTGTCCCGCAGGGGTGCTAGTGGTGAGCTACCGAGCTGTGTGTGTCCGAGACTTCACCCTTGGCAACTGGTTATCCCGGGATTCGTTGAACCTGTGTGAGACTTTTTTGACCGTTAATAAGCCAAAAGATGGCATTAGTTCCAGGTGCAGAATGCTGTGCCTTGTTAAGCAACTAGAGGAGCGCTGATGTGAGGGAGGATTGTGATGTGGGCTGTGCGTTATACCCTGACAAGGCCACGGGCATGGATCCCATCACAACAGGAGCACTTGCAAATTTGTAAATATGATTTTTTAAATGTCCGTATTTTCTGTTAAACTGTATGGAGATGCACAAATGTTTATTGGCCTCGGCCACAAAAAGATCTGGCCAAATGTTTTTTTTAGACCCTCCACCAACATTAATTAAACAATAGGAATTAACAGTATTAATTACTGGGGTGAGTGATGGTGGTTAGGGGCACTCTTGTGTAAACCCAACAACCTGTGTTTGATTCTGGAACACGGCTAACATCAGTGATGAGTGCTATCTGAACTAGTCCTGCGTAGCACCCCAAAGGAGCAATCCGAACTGACCAGTATTGGTGAAGTATGGTGATACAATTCCCAAGAGTGACACGGCATGGGGAGGCCTTCATCCAAGCAGGGCATTGACAGAGGGCATTAACTGATTACTTTCTGTTTGTTGCAGGTCTCTGCATATGGCTTCATTACCAGCAACTTCAGGAAATTTCCAGACCATTATTTTGACAAAAAACAGAAGCTTGTCTTTTATGTCAACCACGATCTATCCCTCGAGAAGAAATTATGGAAAAAGCTAAATGACCTGGACATCATGAAGCTTTACCGGCGGAAAATGGTCTAGGTTCAGCGATGGATTGGTGTTGGTTTGGCATGCTGCCGCTGTGCCATGAACTGTAGATCCCCATTCTCTATCCAAAGCAATGGTCACACTTGTTCCTGTGGAATACCTCACTTCATATATTGTTTTTTATTTACTGTGGAGAAAATAAAAAAAGTACATAGCACCCACCCATCACACAGACACGTGGTGAGTTGCAAAACGGCGGTGTCCCACAGTATCCACTTGACACGATCCATCACAATGTTGTGTGAAACCTCATGCAGTGCTGTAGTGGAGCATTGTGGGTAAACGGTACATTAAATAGGTCAGCTTCTGTTCCCTATCTGAACACACAACATATTTTTTATTTGTGTATATATCGGCCTTCCAGACGACTTGTAACAATACGGTTTTATGATAGAGGTCATACCGTAACGTAAGCCTCTAATGCGCTCTTGCGAGCTTCTGGTTATGATGTAGTAAAGCAAGTAAAAATGTAATGGATAAATTGTCGAGTGTATACCCCCAGTAACTAGTCACTGTGAAAGTCTAGCATTGGTGACCCATCTGATACCGAGTGGCATTGATGCTGAATAATGTTTTACCCATTCATTATTTACCAGTTCCCGTTTGAGGAAATAATTATCTTAAGTGGCCTTATATCCGGCTGTAGTCATTATGGCGAGCAGATTTTGTATGCAGTGAAAATGACATTTGCCGTTTAAAATTTGGAGTAAGTTGAGTGGATCGAAGTGTTTGTCGCACCAATCGCCAAGGCACTGTACCATACTTCGCAGAATTTGTATAATTTTCTGATTAGGAGAGACATGGCCGGACAAGGGTTCGGTTTTTGATACTACTGTACTATAAAATCACTGTTCTATAAATCAAATATTTAATTTTGTATACATTGAAATCGCTGCCAGCTTTGCGGCCCTTTGGAGCACTGAGAGCCATATATGTGTCACACCAACCACTGAACACCTCCACCACCACCTGAGTGGAAAATCTAGTACAGCCTATGCTCGTTCAAAGGACTGTATAATTACACTTTTGTAATGTTGACATGATTATTAAACCGGTGTGCATGGCAACGCAGCGGTCCAGTGTCGCGGGTGCTCTCCTCATCCCCCTGTGGCGCTCTCCACAGACAGCGGTACCGCCACTTGTCTGCGGAGAAAATGTCGTGGAGAATGAGAGTACATTCGCACGTGACTCCGCGCGTTTTAGAACATCGCGGGTAATTGGAAGCATCTAATAACGTTGGGAATATTTGCGGGATGGCAGCGGATAATGGGTAATAGGTTAACGGATAAGGAGTTGTGTTATTCACGTTATGTTGCGCGTGCTTGTATTGGTTTTACAGGGTATAAGATGTGTGCGAGTGGCTGTATAAATGTGACATCGTGTACTGTTAAGACATGGGGTGAAATTCCAGTAATGTGTCGGGTTCTTGGCTGGTCAAAGCAGTGACTTGATGTGTGTGTGTACCTGCTGAATTCAAACGTGTTTTTTTTTTATAAAAATGTTGGTCTCTTCGTGCTCCTTTAAAATGTTGAATTTAGAAGCAAGGTTCTGTGTTGTTGTGATCTGAATGTATTTAGAGGGACTGGGCGTTGTTGCGCGGCGCATGCCAAATTGAGGTCCTTCAACAATGTTGGCTCGTTTGTTGGCGAGCTGCGATTGGCTGGAATGCCGATGGAAGCGTCGATTAACCAATGAAAGTCGTTTGTTAAGTTCACTGTGCATTAATCGATTATAAGAGTTATTACACGTGTAACATTTGTGGAAATTGCATCCAAGCGAATGTTACATTTCGGGTAATGGAGCAAACAGAATTGCACAAACCAGTCAACTTGGACGAAGCGTTGATTCTTGCTTCGGCCCCCTGCACTGTGACGAGGCAATTGAATGACTGGGTGGGGTAGGGCACACCCATAGTGCATTGTTATAGAAGCCTCCGAGTGAGTTTAAATGATAAATGAATGGCATTAGTGCAAAGGAGGGTGAAATAATGCATGACAATGAAACATTCACGAGGTGTTTGTCCTGATCGTTAAAACGGCTCGCAGCGGGGTACAACACCGTGTGTATCGAGACTGATGTCGAGTTTTTTCGGTGCTTTTTTTAACGTCAGAATCGACCGTTTTGTTAAGGATAGAAGGCGATTGGTGAATTGATATTAACATTGTCCAACAGAGTAGAGTCGTTCAAATGAACCACAGCTGTAGACAATCTTAATGTCAGATGTTTTTGCTTTGTTAACTGATGTTATTCCAAAAGGAATGTTTACAGAATGCTGTATTTTAATGCATGCGTTCATGAGCCTTTCCAGAAAACCAAAAGACCGTTTTCTGTTGATGGTCCTGGAATTTCAAATATTTTAATATGTCAGTGCTGTAAATTGCATAAGCAAGGGTGCACTAAACCCACTGTGTCTCATGGGTTTACACCGTTCTCGTACAACCCGTTATGACTTTCGGAGAAGCAAACAATCGATTTACTCTGCCGCTGTCTTGGGTAATTACTCGACGTGTAATGATTCATCCACGCACCTCCGATTAGCACGGTTGGCTACGTTTGGTGAAACAAGTTTATCACACGTACAAGTGTAAACGTATCAATTCTCCTGCACAGTAGTGTTGTGTGTGTACATTATGAGCAAATCTCACAGTAATTGGGGAGTAATATTGCAGATCCTGTTATCCACGAATTTACAAAAAAAAATCCCCGGAGGAAAATGATTTGTGGATATTTGCGGAATTTTCCACACGACTCAAGTGCACAAACATAAAATGCGCGCATAATGGGAAGGGGTTCCACAGTGAGCCTTGGGGTGTAAATCGTGGATACGTGGAAGAATAGCGCTGCCGATTTAGAAGATTGCACGTCCCAGAGTTTCCACGGACAATCGGAGTTGTGGGTAGCATGGTGACGCATACGATGAGTTTTGTAAATGAGAAACTTTGGATTGAATCATGAACTTGAGGGAAGTGGTGAATTGTTACATGCTCATTAAGGTGTACATGAATTGTGGTTAGAAAAATACAGTACAAATAAAATCTGTTTTCGTCATTTTGTTCTTTTCTTTGAACCTATCTACGTGACTTTACCGAAAGACCCCAGAATATAAATAAAATACGAATTGAAAATGGCATGACACTGAAAGATTTCTGGATTGCCGTTGCATCGTGGTTCACGAGCTTTCAGTGCCGGTCATTGTTTTGTATTTTTAAGTACTGTACGTTTGAATTGCTTATCGACGGCGTATCCACATTGTGAAAGTGGTTCTGTACATGTTCTCTTTGATGGTGTACTGTAGTAGATAACAGTTGGAAACTGGCAAGCGATAAGGACAGGTTTGTAAATACTGAACCAGTGATGTTCTAAGCCCCCCCACTTAACTTTCATTGCCACAGGCATTCCAACAAACGGCGCGTTGTGCAATTGCTTCTGCTTTCCATGCAGCTCAAACAAATACGATGTGGAGGGGGGGGGGGGGGGCTTCATCTAGTAGTGGATTGACGAGTCGTTCACCTCTTTATGCACCAGCACTCGTTGCAGTAGTGTGGAGTGTGAGCCGCCTCTGGACTATTTTTCAGCCTTCATCTTCCCCACTTGCCTGGGCTTGTGAAACGCAGTTGCCTAATTGTGTGGTACACTAATGAGGAATGAAGGACGGTGCGACACCAACCCTGATTCTGATAGCACTTCACCAAGTCATGGCGCTCATTTGTATGCAAACTGATGTATACGCTGAGTAGATGGAGCAAATCCGAGGTCGTGTTTGTATCACACGATGGTGGTGTTTGATGAAGGCCATGGTGATTTGGCGGCGGCGGTGGTGATGCTGCGCATTTTACACCTGGAAAAATTTACTTCCTGTGGGAAAATGTCCGGTGTGGGTTTTTCACGTGGACAGTCAAGTCTGTCGCAAATGTTGACAGTTTCCGGAGAATCCCACGAATAGAAAATGTGTCGTCTTAAACTGAATCGTACGTAAACATTTTAGATAAAATGATTTAAGTAGTTATCATGTGTAAATATTGTACAATTATTAATGGGTTAAATTTAACAAAAAAATAAAGTTTATTTTACTTGTATATAAAGAATTGTCGAGGCTTGAATTTTCTCCACGTCCATCATTGGGAAGCGTCAGGGTCCAGATGTCACCGGTGACCAAGGCGGTTGGACGCCACTCCCACACCTTGGCAACGATTTACCTCCTCCCGACACCACGGCTGCTGCTCGATATCCTCCGGCTGCTGTCCTAGCAATGCATCCCTCGATCCGGATTAACGACGTCCATTTTTTTTAAGATGACGCTATTGTGTGTTTTAAAGGTAACACGAAAACACCGTAGCAGGTGGGCCACTGCGAGAAGGCTACCGCCTCCTCCTGACCGTGTCATCGCACATCAGGGCCGACAGGAACTCACTTTGGCTTGACTCTAATGTAGCAGCTTCTCTAATTGAAAACGAATTTCTTTAGAACAGCCTTTTGTGTTTAATTTGCCCTTCCCCGCACCTCCGATTAGCACGGTTGGCTACGTAACGGTGCGAAAGTTATACATACATACATTTCTGGCTTCCATTATTGGTGTAATGTTCTAATACAGTGTATTGCAGTATCCCATCAGTCTTTTTTTTGCCACTGAGCTCCCGGATTTACTTTCCTCTTGTTTTTCCATATTATGCTGCAGTAGCCGTGCTGTCACCCAACACTGATTCTGTAGCTGGGGTGGCTGCGCTCGCCAGCTGACTATTCACAGCCACCACGGTGTCCGAGTGGATTGCGCAAACCTCGTTTTTCCGGATGACATTTGAGTCGGCTTAGGGAGTGTTTTCTTTTGTCATTGACATAGTTTGGTGGTTGGTGGCCTGAACAATAGGGGTGGAGCCGCTCCTTCGCACTGTGTGTATGGGCCGTGGCCTCGGAGGGGCTCGACGCGTTACCCACTGGCGCCTCAGGGCAGTGGCAGCCACAAGAAAGTAAATTATACTTCAGAACTATGAGTAAAATGTAAGCGTTGACAGGCAGCTTGTAAATTGTGCTCCTTGGCAGCTGGTGTCCATATTTCCCTCAGATACAACATGACGATGTTCAGCTGTTTCTTACCTTTTACATTTGCACTCCCATTCGTGTAATGTCAGTAGGGTCCACGAAACAGATGCACACTAGCTATATTGATGGGCAACTTGGTTATTTTTTTTGTACATTATTTTCATTGATCCAACCACGGGGGGGGGGGGGGGGGGGGTATATCTTCCTCGACAGGTGAGCGGTGCATAGCGGGATAAGCAGCTCGGACAGACAACCAACGCAGACGTGTAGGACCATAGCGGTATGTGGTACATGCGTCAAATCTCTTTTCTTCGGGGAAGGGGGAAAGGGGGGTGGAGTCAGGCTCATTTCAAGTTCAATTAAGTAAACTCCTGGTCTCTGGAGTGGCATTCACTAGGGGGCCCCAAATCTGGGTGAACTCCCCTTCCCCTATTCCTCGGTTTCAGACTCGGGTGTTCTAAAGCTGCTAGAGCCAATAGGGCGTTATGCAAGAGGGTGAATGAGGTGGCCCCATGATTCTTCCAGGAGCTCAGGGTGGTCTTTCTAACCGAAATGTAACATTCTTGGAGAAGGGTGTGGTGGTGCCTGGTGATACTTTGGGGTTGAAGGACCAGGAGGGATGATTCAATGCTAGATCGTAATCTCAGTGCCAGACATCACGTTGTACAGATCAGTTATTTTATATCAAAGAATGTCCTGATGGCGGGACGGTCCCAGAAGGCGTGAATGTATGTTTGGATGGTGCCCAGGGGGGCACCTCGACCAGTTTGGGGATATGGTCTGGAAGAATTTAGCCTTCCGTTGGTTAGTGAGATATGTGCCATGAAGGAACTGAAATTGAATCGTCCTGAGAGGGAGGGATCTTAGACCTTGCCGGGGGTTGTGCCAAATTAGTTTCCAAGACTATGATGGGATTGGGTGGCCCAGCGTCCCCTCCCAAAGTGCCCTAGTCTTTGGTCTCACCTCGGTATGGCCCAGGAGTAGGAGTTGGTATGTCCTCTCCTCCGTCAGCCATACCCATATCGGGGAGGGGATCTTTTGGAGGTCAACACCCCTTGCCTTGTTAATAGAATCCCTGATCTGGAGAAATTTGAAAAAAAAATCGCTGTTAGGGATGTCATCGCTTTCTAATGTTTTTGGAGAGTGTCCATCCCCCTTTAGTCAGACGAGAGATCACCCACCCTCCTGATTCCCACTCTTTTCCAAGCCGGCCAGCTGACACCCTTGCCCCCAATAATCCTACATAGGGGAGAGTCGCTGGAGGCCAAAGGTGATATGGATCAGTTTATTTCTCAGGGTCCAACGGGTTGTGTTGACTGAGGGTAGTGGTTTGAAATCCGAGGGCTTATCTCTAGGGTGCAAGTGGACTATTGCCTCAAGGCTCCAGGGGGATAATGATGCCTCTTCCCACTTCTTTCAGGAGCCGTCTCTTCTTGTTGAGGCAATGCTTGACCATAAGGAGGCCTCCCGATAAGTAGTACTTCGCAAAATCAGGTAGCGCCAGCCCGCCGCATTTATTCCCCTGAGTTAATGTATGGTTGTCGATCTTGGCCACCTTGTGTCCCCAGACAAAGCAGGATACGAGGGAGTGGAGCTTACTTAAGAATGTCTGAGGTATCTGTCGGAATCATCCTGAGATGGTAGAGGGCCTTCGGAAGGGTCATCATTTTGACCAAGTGGACCTGATTGGGGAGTGATAGTGGGATATTGTCCCAAACGGCTAGGGAGGCCTCAATCTCCAGAAGAAGGGGGGGGGGGGGAGTTCTGTTTGAAGAGGTCCGCTAGGTTGGAAGTAATATTCACCCCGAGATACCTGATTTGGGAGGGGCACAACCTGAAGTGGGAGACGTTGGGCAGAGGTGTTCCCGAAATCGGGTACAGAGGCGTGATTTCTGACTTAGGAATGTTGAGTTTATAGCCTGAGACTGCACCGTACTCCACAATAAGCTTCGGGAGGGCAGGTATTGAGGTGTCCATTTTGTGATAGTAAGCAGATCGGTGTATAAATTGACTTTATTTTTCGACTTGCCCGTAGCATATACCTAATATGAATACCTAATACCTCCTGGCTACTTCGTATCCTGGCTGCCAGAGGCTCAATTGCAAAGAGGGGGGGGGGGGGGCAGGATAGGGGGCATCTCTGTCTCGTGCCTCTAGTGAGGGGGAACCTCTGAGACAAACCCATTAGTAGTACCTATCGCAGTCAGATGATCATAAAGGAGTCTGCACATGTAGATGAACCGGGGAGGGGGGGAGGCTAGACTCTGCATGGTGCCAAAAATACACATTGCTGCGGAGGAAGCTGGTAGGAACGTTGGGTTGCTCGGTCAATGGCCAGGGTCAACGGCGGCGTGGTGTATTCCGCAAATATGCCCGACTGTGAGGGCGGGCACAAGTCGGCGTGATTAGGTTAAACGTTGAGTTTTATAAGGGCTCCACGGGGTGACCAGCCCCCCCCCAGCCCCACCCTCCCCACCCCACCCAGCCCCTCCCCACCCTCCCTTCCCATTTTTGGATGCACGACGGGCGGACGGATACAATAATCCCCTGTGGGCTGGTGTAACCAGGAGGTTCTAACAGTAAAACCCCCACTGTACCAAATCGAAAGCCTTCTCCCCGTCGAGTGCAATGGCTTTCGTGCTTGACCTGCAGTTTCGATGGCGGACTGCGTAGCGAGTCCTGACTCAGGGAGTTGGGGGGGATCTCTATGTCCTCCGGTGACAGCTATAAAGTGAGGCGATCCGCCACGAGGCGTGTTGTGTGCCGTGCATTGCCCATGAGAGCGGCACAGTGTCGTCGTGCACGGGAGGAAGAGGGGTTGAAGAAGAATACAAAACACTCCCAGGGGAGGAAAGGGGCGAAGGGATTACCAAGATGGTAAAAGTTACCCATACAAATGTTAACAGTAACAGGACAGCAGTATTCTTTGGCTCTTTCGGTAAAGTCACGTAGATAGAAAAAAATAAAAGTAAATAAAATACAAACTACGACGCTTCGATTACAACACAAGCGATGACGATTATTATAGAAGTGACAGCACCTAAGCTCATACAACAGTTTTGAGTTTTTTTTGGTGTGGGAAAAAGACGTCTTGGTGCCTGGGCTTGTTCAGCAGCAGGGAATTAACGTCACTAATTGCGGTGAGTGGGGGAGAAGCGAGTTCCACACTACAGCGGCAACATCAGAGGATGTGAGCATCCACCTTTCCATTCAGTGCAAATGTATTCAAGCAAATAAAAATGTTCTATTTGTATATTCGAAAGCGTTGTGTGGAAAAGTACATTTGATGGCAGTCAATCTTGGATATACCAACACTGGTGCACTGTCAATAGCTTAGGATATAAACTATTATGTTTAACTGCTTGACCATGGTCATGCCATAAGTAGTATGTTAAATGTGTTGTGTGTACCCGGATAAGGGCAAAGCTGAAGTTTGGGGTTAAGGATACGGTTCCGAGTTTGGGGGGTGTAATGCAGCTTATTTGCAAAAGTGCTGGAAAAAACAACACGTGCCACATGGCCAAGTAGCATCTGTGCAAATACTCCCCTGGACGTGACCTCTGTAGTATCGCTCAGGTACGGGAAGGCTCTGGTGTAACTTTGAACACACCACTCACTTTATTGGTCTGGACAAGTGTGTACATTGAGCCATGGTGACATTGTAGCTTGTACGCATTTCAACTTGGTTGACCACCCAGATAAATTTGGGATGTGACGCATTTTGGATTTTAATAGGCCTGCAAAGGTGAAATCTTAAAAATATATATACTGTAAGATGCACGTGTAACCGGCTCGCCCTACCCCTCTCCTCCCGTGATCGTAACGAGGGGACAGACGGGTTAATAATAGTCGAGTTTGGAGGCGACGCGGGGGATACTCTCTGCGTGGTGTTCTGCCCTCCTCTTGAGGGTCGAGTGACTCCACAGAGAGGTGTGAAGCCGCAACTCTTTATTTCAAAGTGCTCTGAGCAACATTCGTGCATTTGTACTAATGACCAGATGCACACCAATCGACCCCACGTTACACACTTCACTGCTCAAATCCCTGTTGGTGGAATTGAGTGAAAGTGTTGATATTCTGCACCCACGCCTTCATAGGTGCTCGTTAACAGCACTTGCCCCAATAGTCTATTAGGCTATATGGGGGATCTTTGTATGTTTTTTTAAGATTTCACCTTTGGCTTGCCAAGATGTCTCAGCGCGATTGCGCGATTGGCGTCACGCATGACACGAGATGAGGAATGCATCGGGATCTTGTCCAGAGCAGTGCAACACTTCGTGTTACTAACTCGCCATAATCGTCAATAATGGCGCAAAGAAGCCAGAGGTAGTCTCTACCATTCTGGCCTGGCACTTGTTAAAACGTTAATTTCTTTAGCACCGTACGTAGCCAACCGCGCTAATAGGAGGTGAAGGGAAAATGATAGCAACCTAAACACGACAAGTAGTTCTAAAGAAATGCGTTTTCATTCTAGATTTAAAAGTGCATAGCTCCAGCGGCTTCCTAATATCGGAAGAGCGTTCCAGACGGCCGCAGAAGCGCGTCTGAAAGCGCGCCTGTGCTGTGAAGGGCCATTGCCCGAAACGTCACCTGTTATCTATATGTAAGTTTGCTGCTGTTCGTGTATTAGTGGGTGCACGCTGCTGCCAATGCAGCTGCCGCGCCACGGGCGGACGGGGGCGACTCAGCTCACCCCGGGGAGCCGCAACCCTCGGGTGACGCGCCCCCCCCCCCCCACCGACGTGTGCCGGTGTCAACGCTGCTGGTTCGACAAATCTGGCTGCGTACCCACCGGATTATAAGACGCAGCCCCTCGCAGCCTTTCATTTAAATAGCAGGGGGTGGGGGCGGTGCGTCTTATAATCCGGACTAATACAAGAACACAGATCGGATTATAAGACGCACCCCCTACTTTCACTTGAAATTAGACGGGGGGGGGGGAGTGCGTCGTATCATTCGGATAGCTGACACTGTTTGGGGAACACGTGGCTGCTCGCCCTCGTGGTGTGACGCGCGAGAGCTGCGGAGTGCGTCTTACAATCGGCGCTTCGCACGCCGCGAACGGCGACACATCTCAACTTCCGGGATTCCCCGCATTGGATTTCCCACACCGCATAAGCCGCCCGGCGTCCGTGTCGCGGGCTCCGATTGGTCGCCGGTCACTGGCGGCGAGTCGCCGCGAAGACCAATCGGGGGCGGCCGCGCGCCAATGCGCGCTGGGAAATGTAAAGTGCAGGGTGCGCGATTCTTAGGTTCCGTGTGGAGGAGCAGCAGCAGCAGGAGGAAGCGATGGCGGCGGCGGCGGCAGCAGCGTCTCTGAGCGCGGCGCTCGGGCTCCGTGTGGCGGCCCGGGCCGGGGCGACAGCGGGCGCCTTCGCCACCAGTCGCTCCGGCTTCCTCAAGCGGGTGGTTTCCGCCTCGCCACGCTGCGCCGGCGGCGCGGCGATCACGGCCAGGGGCCTCGCCGAGACGACCACGGGAGCCATTCTGCCCAAGCCAGAGAAGGTGGCGGCGGTGTGGGAGGGAGGGGAGTTGGTAGCCGTGGGGTCCTCTTCCTACTGTTGCTTTTGTTTTGCGCTCTCCGGTTGCTTTGCTTACGGCGAGTAAACGGAGTGGAGGATTTCCGAAAGCATTGCAATCGACGTGGTTTGTTTACGAGGCGTGAAAGTGACACCGGATAGCGACGCGATGGGGTTCGGTATAACATGGCTGTCAAACTCGACGCGTAAGGTCGCGATTAATAATTCACATTTTTATTATGTTGCCTAACCCCACTATTAATGTTTGATTAAGGGCAATTCACATCAAAGTGCGGAGTCAGATTCTCAAGAACAATGTTTTCGCCGAGATGCGGTCAAAGAGATGTGACATCAATACAGTTTCACGGTGACGAGGGTGTCGTGTTGGTGTACTTACGGTGATTAACCAGAAGGGTGTGTGGTGTCCATTCTATAGAATACATTATCCAGGGCATTGGTCGTGTTTTGTTTATTATTAATCAATGCGAAGTAAAGAGGTAGGGGTGACATGATTATCACATTGTTGTAATCTAATCGTTGTTTAGGATATATGTACACAACACGAGCAAACGGCAGTGCATTCACATTTGCATTTATTGCATTCAACGCTGTGCAGGACTGGTCGGGAGAATGAGACGCAATTAGCTCCGCTTTGAGCGCAGTGGGGGCCGCCTCCGGTGGGTCGCAGCACTGCACCAGAATTCTGTATTCACAGCTGCGGTGATGGCTCGGTGCAGCTACAATGTGGGACACCTTTCCTGGCAGTGACAAACTACAATGTGTTACCCTTGCTGGCAATAAAACGGGTGTTAAGATGTTAAAACACCAAACAGAACCCCTTTTTAAGGAATCATGTCTGCATTAACTACACCAACTTGTGGTGAACATGCAAACAAAAAACATGCTCTGATAAATATATGCATTCTTTGAAAACTGTCTGTTTGCATCTTCAGCACAAGTACGTGTGGTTGTTGCAGACAGGATTCCTTGAAAAATGATTCTGTTTGGTGTTTTAACATCTCAACACCTGTTTTATGCCAGAAAGGGTAAAACCTATTGCTAAATAGCTAAGTGTGTAGTACAGGAGATTCCTACAAATGCGACTTTGTGAATGCTACAAATGCTACCACGGTCGATTCGGCCACATCATCGGCATCTTCAGCAGCAACAAATATTCTTACATCAGCAGGATCACAATCATAATTACTGTATTAACGATAATAATCAAACTTTATCGATTCGCACAAGGTGACGTTTGTGTGTGTGCATTCTCTCCTGTGGTTGGCTGCCAGGTCTCACTGGGACTGACAAAGGTGTTCACGGTGGTTATCCCATTTCTTATCCTCGGAGCCATCGCGAGCAAGAAAGGAGCCGAGCTGCTGGAAGAACACGACATATTTGTGCCAGACGATGACGACGACGATGATTAACGTATGCACAATAACTACACTCTTAAACCACGAGCCCATTATCAACACCTTTTAGCAGTTTCACTGATATGTAGTATTGTTTAGACACCGTGTGTACATGCTTATTTAATTTGTATCAACATTCTGGTTTTATTTTTGTTAATACTAATTACAAAGCTGGCAACTGACATCTCAATCCTTGTTTTTTTCTTTTAGGGCAGTGCAAAGTTGGCATCGAATGTCTTCACAAGTGGAACCTCCTGATGGCCTTACTCGTACCTGCATGAATGACAGGATGGTTTCACGACGTGTTGTTTTCTGCATGTTCTCCACCAGTGGCTGGTCTATGGGAAGCTCTTGTGCAATGCTGCCACCTTGAGCTCAAATACATTGCGGTCTTGCTCCGTACACAAATGGTGTGAAACACTTAGTGAGATATTCTATATGGCAACAATCTTCAGAGGACTGAAGAAGCTGTGGCTCAAACCAATTACATAATTAGAAAAATGTCCATGTATACATTGCAAACAGATTTTCATTCCAATAGGATGTACAGCTCAGTTAAATTCCCGTTCCACATTGTGCATGACGAGTACTGCTTGCTATGAAGGCGATTGGTTAACATGTACCAAACTTTATTACACAAATTGGTAAGCTTCGGGGTGGAAATACATGCCTAATTCATCGTATAGAATATTTGGTAAGTGTATATCACAGAAGTGTTGTTTTCTTCCCCTCTGGATAGGAGCCGCTGGTTGTATCTTGTTATCTACTTTACATCTTGCTGTAGCCCAATGTTTGCGATGTCCACTTAATCTAAAACCTGGGGATTGGGAGCATCATACACTGTCAATCTACATTCGTCTGACTTGTTTTTAGGCTGCAACTAAAAATGCCATAGTTTTGCATTACCACTCTGGAATGTTAACATTGTTACTGTCAACCAGACAATCATTGTAATGGGCAATGGAAAATAAATTGAATCATTTCAGTGTCCAATTACACTTACAGAAATGTACTGCATCCCAAGTATATTTATTATGTGACCAAGCCTAATGGATGTACATAAAGGAAAAGCAATAAATCAAATTTTAAGTTTCATTGCCTTTCTGTATTTTAATTGCTTAGGACTTGGGTATTAGACATTTTTCACAAGCCTTTGATGGCAAATGCCCAGTCATAATGATGGTTAATGGTGTCATTGGCACCATGGTCGGTAATAAGGACTATAGCACCTTGGCTAAGGTACACACTGCAATAAAAAAATCATCATTTTCAGAGTTTTATTGATGCTTAGCATTATATCCACAACGACACAATGCAGGAAGGTTTTGCAACACATTAACCCAGTGTATGGCATGCTATTAACAGGTAACAAGTGTTAGTCATCACAGTTATCACAAAGTGCTCAAGATATTCAAACTGAAGTTTAGAATGAGTAAATAGTAAAAATGTTGCATGTTGGTGTAGTATTTTTTTATTACCAGCCTAGAAACACCAATTTCAATTTATAATGTATTCCTTATTTCAGGAAAAAAACCGAGGGTGTTTTTACCTTAAGTTCAAAAATAACAAGTACAGTGTTTATATCTTACAGGCAGACTTATAACATATACTGAATGTCTTGCATGAACAAATTAACTTGTGAATGTATGGGCCATATCAGAATCATTAGCACTTTGTAACATTCGTGATGGCTCATCCTTGCTAATCACATAACGTTTAATGTTGCTTCTCAAATCATATCCACGGCCCGTATTGTGCACGGGTCTCTTTTAACTCTTGTGTTAAAGGTGGCATCTTGCTGTCAAGGGTTGTGTCCCGCAAGGAACTTGGACAAAAAGTCAGTGGGTCGAGGTTTCTCAGACTCTTTGAAGTATCGCATAATGTGTGTCCTCTGCTTCCACACATTGATGGTCTCATCCAACTCCATCTTTCCCTAAGGTGGGGGGGGGGGGGGAACGCAAACACCGCATTCAGAGAGCTGCCGGTCGGGTCTGCACATCCATGAAACATGCAAAACGATTTCAATAGTTAAAGTTCAATGTGTGTTTTTAAGGAGAGCAGACAAACGAAGTGTTACCTGCAGAAACAAATGGTTGGGGAAAAAACAAAGAATGATAACATGTCCCGGTTTTAACCTGTGCAACCAACCTTGTTTGAATATTAAAAGCCGAGTAACATCCTCGGCATTCATACAACTGCACACGTTGCAAAAAAAATGGTTAACCAAGGGTTTTATTTTAGGCAAGATGAAGGAGAGTGATTGTCCCATCGCTAATTACACCTATTCGAACGATTGGATTTGTACGGTGCGAAATAAGTTCAACAGTACAATGAGGGGTATGAACATATACCTTGATGACCAGCATGTCAATGACTCGTGGGTCGGACACGAGTGCATTTTTGTTGAACATCTCGCGCACTTTATCTCTTGCTTGCTTTGTGGTGATGTCCAGCTGGAAACAATGCACTGTGGGGAATATGAATGTAAGATTTAGTACGTAACATTTAATTTAAACACAGAATTTCTCAACTCCAGATATATATGTAGCCCAAGCTCCAGCTTTAAAAATTTACCAAATAAGATGTCTGCATTGTTGATGATCCGACAAAAAAATTGGGGTGTATTTGTGGATGAACATACAGTATTTGCAAAGAAATAATTGAGATGTGCAGGTTTAGAGCAGCAAACATTAATACTGAGAGTTATCCGCTAATGTCCACAAATTATCCTATACGCTCAGTGGCATACAATTTGAGTGCATTGTCAGACCCACATTGACCCATCGCACCAGGGGCCTGAGTACAGAAAAAGTTCGCAAAACCTCCCCGAGGTTGACTCCGCCTTAAATGAGTACCGGGCGTGGAGCTGGCCACCCACCCCCTCGTGTGCCGTGCTGGCCTCCATCGGTGTTGCTTGCTAACGCGACACTTGCCCCAAGTCTGAGGACTACACGGGGGACATGTGAGGACGCGGAATTACGCGTAGTCCCAACCGCACGAAAAATTCCGCCGGGAACCAGAAATTAATAGAATTCGACACCAGATTCACCGTGGCCATCCTAATACCTCCAGATATGACACCTGCAAGCCATGACACCTACAACGTATGATTCATGGAACCACGCCACATCTCACCTATTGGTAACACTTGATGTGGCACAATGTTAACGGTAACAATTTTGTACGTTCTCAATTAAAATGGCAACTCTTTAAAATGTGGAGATATCACATTTAGTCTATAAATAAAACCCGGTACCATTAAACATTGGCCAGCCTCTAGTAGTGAGTGGTACTGTACCAAAGTCAGCTCTGGCCCATGGGCTATTTAGGCGCCTCCGTCCACTCGGACAACTTACCCCATCCACTGCTGCTCCTGTATCATGCATCACGGACCAGGCATGAGTGGCTATAAGCAAAACCTCAAAAGCATGCGCCAAACGGATTGAGGCACTTGCCATAACAGAGACATGAGATATGGGATTCCAGTCATAAGGTATGAAAAAACTACTTTAGGAGAGGCACGGGACACACACAAGATGGGGGTTTTGCTTAAAGGCGCAGGAGACATGAGAACTGAAAGTAAGGGACAGGGGCGCGGGGAGGCGAGGTATAGAAGCTGCTTCATGAACGAGACGGGGGACGCGGGGACACAAGGTGAGTGAGAGAGAGAGATGCTTATTATGGACCAGGGTGACCTTAGACCTGAGCCCGGTCGTTCCCATCGCCGGCCCCAGCAGCGCACTCCGTTACTCACCGGCGACGGGCGCCTGCCTGTACCACGCCCTGTAAAGGTCCCGGGCCCTGCGCTTGGCCTCGTCCACGTCCCGGGACAGGATGGGCTTCACCGCCTTGACCGCGACGCTCGCCGCCTTGTGCACTGCCGCCATCTTCAAGTGGAAGCGCGGCCTCCCCCCCCCCCCCGCTAAGTGGGCCCCATGAGCTCCCGCGCGTCGCCCACGTGAAGCTACGGCGGCCATCTTACGTGGGGATAGTGAAGGCGCAGCCCTGCAATGACCTGCTGGCGGGAGTGCGCTGTAACTGCCTAACTGGATAGACGAATCCGCGACTGAAATTATGTTAATGTGAAATTACGGCACCTCCCACACAGATAGGGACAGCTGTGACAAGTTCGCGCGCGCGTGTGTTTTTGTAACAGCATTGTTTGGCTATAGCGAGTTGGCAGGAGTGCATGAGCACGAATATACAAAAACACTCAACACATTTGTCATGAACTACTGTCTAGGGCCATCGCCCGATGCTTAACTCCTCACAAGGCTGTGCGACTCACGAGCGAGCATGGGATGGCACACGAGTCACGCGGCTTCACGGTGGACGCAGTCAACAGGGAGGAGGAGGAAACCCCCACAGCCAATGGGGCATCCCCCTCGCAGTCCCAGAAGTCGCGACATGATGACGTCAACACCTGAGGTCACCCCCCCCCTCTCTTTAATTGCGTCATCCACCCCGCAACTCCGCTTTAGGGCATTGTCTCTGACGTCATCGCGCACCCCGCTATCCGACACCGACGGCAAGGGCGTGACGTCAGAACGCGCACGCTTCCGTTAACTCGCTGGCGTCGCCACGCACGGGCGTGACGCCACCGCGTATTGTGTGACGTCAGCGCGTATTGTGTGACGTCAGCGCGTATTGTGTGACGCCACGGCGCACGCCGGGGCCTGGCCGCTCCCATCAGTGCGAGCGCGAGAGGAGCCTGGCTGTGGGAGTGCTCCCCGCTCGCCCCTCGGAGCGTACGGCGCGGGTGCAGCGGCAGCAGCAGCAGCAGCGGCTAACGGCCTCGCCTCTGTAGCGGCCTCGGCACTGCGGGGCAGGGGGGGGAGATTCGGGGCGACATCCGGCCAAGTTTAGTCTCTCGCGAAGCTGAAGGTTTCGCTGTGATCGCGGTGCCCCGAGCTGCGTGTGCTCTCGGCAGGCGCGGCCGCCGCCTCCATTAAGGCTGCCTTCTCCCGTCGCCTTCCCCCTTGAGCCCCTCACGGCGCCCCGATTGAGCTCTCGCTTTTAATTCCCCCTTAAAGCGAAATAAAAGGTTTCCCGCGAGGTGTTTGTCGCGCAGGGATGAGCAGCGGGGTCTGGAGGCGGCGGTAGAGGGAGCGAGGAAGGCGCTTGAGAATGGTGAGTGCCGCTCGCCCGCGAGGCCTACAAGCCCCTCGGCAGCCTCGAGTTGTGTCCGCCCCTCTCCTGTGTCTCCAATTCGTGTGCTGCTGATGCTGTGGTGGTGGTGGTGTTGATTTACTTTGGACTGTCGTGCGTTATACTGTGCCAGGTCAAGGTCTAAGTGATTTCCTGCTCAAATGAGCATTGCGGTGGGGGCGAGTCTATGGACAGGTCCATGGACTGTTGACTTGGCCACAGATTGGAATTTTATCGACCCCGAAGGAATGATGGGTTGAGTCGACCAGGATTTGAGCTCCCAACCCTTACGATTGCGAGCCACGGCTCACTACCGTTATATCGTGTACGTTAGCACTCATTTTAATGTTACATTTTACGTATACACGTTACATTATATGACACTAGCGGGAAGTGTATTTTGCCAGTTGCCCGGGCGAAAACACACACATCGACTTACAGACATGGACCCACACACACAAACACATCGACTCACACACACATGGACTCACACACACACATGGACTTACACACACATGGACTCACACACACACATGGACTTACACACATCGACTTACACACATCGACTTACACACATATGGACTCACACACACACATGGACTTACACACATCGACTTACACACATATGGACTAACACATCGACTTTACACACACATCGACTTACACACATGGACTCACACACACACAGACATGGACTTACACACACACACATGGACTTACACACACACACATGGACTTACACACACACATGGACTTACACACATCGACTTACACACATGGACTAACACATCGACTTACACACACATCAACTTACACACACATCGACTTACACACATGGACTTACACACACACATGGACTTACACACACACATGGACTCGCACACACACACATGGACTTACACACACACACATGGACTTACACACATCGACTTACACACATATGGACT